CAATAATTACGTAATTACTTCACTAATTAAATTAAAACATACTACTAATAAGTCCAAAACATTAATGTTGGATTTTTTCAAAGGATTTTTAATATATTACACGAGTTAATTGAGATATTATATTTTAATTAATTGTCTTGTATTTGATGATCCTAGAAAACAAAAATCAATTGAATTAAATTCGTTCGACCGTTTCAATATTTAAATTCCACAACTACTACGTTAATATGCTAAATTTATATTTGTCATGCAACAACCGCTCATATTATTAAAAAAAAAAAGTTGTGTGAATAATATAAAGAACATTATTTTTTCCCATTCAAATACTAAATAGTAAATGTGTTGCTATAATTCAATTCAAACTATAAGGTCAGTGTTTCCCAAATGGTGATGCTTAGACTAATTTTGTTTTTTTCTCTGTTCTTCCAAATTAATTAAATGGTGAATTACCCTTTGTTGAACTTTCTAGTCTTTTTTTATTTTGAATCAAATATGCAGATTCTAGTGTAAAGAAGAAAAATATTTCCCTGATTTTTTTTTCCCCACCGGATCTACTGGTTCAAAATCTATGTTTAATTTTGTTACAAAACAAATTAGTACAATCAATATCCACCCTATTGATTGGTCAATTTATAATCAATGAAATCTTAGGAAATTAATTATTGATCATATCAACGAAAAATGTTAGCATAGCTTTACATTCACACAATATTTTATGGAAAGTAAATATGATCATATCAATGGAACCGTTATTACCATTCATATTTGTTTTTCTTGGTTAAACATTTCACATACACACACGACTGGATTGAAATTCGAATAGTGATACAGTTCTAATACAAACCACTATATTTTATATTTTGGTTTCACTCGTATTCGTTTTGCTTTTTGTTTCCGTAACATTATTTTTTCAAACATCATTCCGGTATGTGGAATTAAATCTCATTCTAGTATATGGAAAGTAAATGTAAATTATACATTTTTATGTATTCCGAAAATGATTTTCCCTAGTATTTTAATGCGCATGTAATACTAAAGGAATTCCCGCTTTGGTTGATGAAAAATGTAGAAAAAGACAGGAGAAATTATAAAGTACAACTTATTCAATGGCTGCCTATATTTGACCAAAGAACTTCAACTGAATATTTGTTTCTACAAAGTAAATAGATACGAAGTGTTTAAATATTGTGCATATTCGGGTAGTTATATGTAAAGGCGAATGAATGACAAAAATTACGAAAATTGATACCAAATGGGAACTCAACATTTCTTTTCTGAAAAAGGACGAATATTAGATACCTGCTAAAATGCATTTTTGATTACGTTCTCTAATTTATTTTCTTCATTGTTATTTTTTCGTTGCAAAGCTAGAATTTCGATTTCTATAATTATATAAAAAATCAAAAACCTTTAACCATCTTGATTTATAGATAAGATTTTCTATCCAATTTGCAGGAGTTCTGGACGGAAATATTTTTTTATCTCAAAACTGATAAGTATTTTTTTTCGTACCTTACTACAATAAATAGGAAAGACAATGAAGTCAAAG